TTATATTATGTATAGAACGAAGAAAAACTAGGTATTAAAATTCCGTAGGGCTTGATAATCTTAGACTTGAGATTTTATCCAATGGAGCTGACACTCGGTTGTATCGTCGAGGGAGATTGAAAATAACTGCTGTCAAGAAGCTAATAATTGAACAACAGTTATAGCTCTTGTAGTCTTCTGATTTCTTACTTGGACTTTTTGACTGGTTTATGCTGTTCAATCGACTAATGCTGCTCCAGTGAAGTTTATTTACTTTTTGCTTCCCCTAAAAATTCAGCCTGCCAAGGATCTAATCAAGGAAATTGCTGCTTTGGAGTTGGAAGTTGTGCATCTGGAAAAATATCTTCTTTCATTATATCGGAAAAACTTCGCTAAGAGAGTATTGTCCAGGTCAACAATGGCTGAAAGATCAAAACCAACTTCAACCACACATGAATCGATGTTTTCAGAAGTTTCTGGACATGATATCACACCAAAGAAAGAAAATTCAGTGATTGACTCTAGCTGTTCTCTGCCACCTCAAGATTTATGTGAGAATCCAGCCAAGGAATGCAGTGACGTTTTACGAGTACAGACACTAGTTGATTCTAGTATTCTCCGCAGCCATTCATCACTATCTCAACGCTCAGCTTCTTCTTTCAGAACTTGTCCTACATTGGGAACTGTTGCAGAAGCTGTACACCCGTACCATTCCTTGCCTTTATCAATGCTGGAGGTAATATAACCTGTAAAAATCCTTGAAATGGCCATAATTTTGAAAAAAGTCCCTCTACTATAGGAGAACCTGTCAAACTCTTTCACTTCCCAACTAGTTTTCCCTTGTTAAAGCATTGCTTAGGCTACAATGTTGTCCATTCAAAATCCAAAAAATTTGGGAAATCACCATACAATCTCAGACGACAAGGTGGTCAAGAGGTTTTATTGGTCTGTTGTTGACATAACCCTGCCTCCTTGTGAGGTGATCTATCCCTAACACAGTTTCTGACATTGTGACTGTCATAGATATGATATAAGCAGCACCTTGAATCCTTGTTCTTTGTTTATATGTTGTGGTTGTTATTTATTACTTCAAAACAAAATGGGAATCATTTTTTCATAAAAAGAAGATGAGCATTAATTTTTCATTAATTTCTTAAGTCCACTTGCCACATCAGTTGAGATGGTGGCCTGGATAAATCATTGGAAAGAAAGCACTTCATCGTCAGCAATTGAGGCCTAATAAACTGTGCTTTCAATTTATCTCAGTGTGCTCGGGGATCTGCTTCAAACATTAGTCTGGGAGAGCATCTTGGTAACAGTACTCCTGATTATGTTCGGAAAACACCAAACTGCCTTTCTGAGGAAATGGTTAAGTGTATCACAGCCATTTATTGTCAACTAGCTGAACCCCCTTTGTTCAATCATGGTTTCACTTCCTCTCCTATTTCATTCTCATCGGCGATGAGTGAATCATCGCCAGGAGGTCAGCATGATATGAGGTGGCCACCATGTAGAGAAAATTCATCTTTCAATTCATGGTTCAACAATCCTTTCCACCCTGACTCTTCAATTAGTGGATCTTACTTCACGATGGCAGAGGTGCAATNACCAGGAGGTCAGCATGATATGAGGTGGCCACCATGTAGAGAAAATTCATCTTTCAATTCATGGTTCAACAATTCTTTCCACCCTGACTCTTCAATTAGTGGATCTTACTTCACGATGGCAGAGGTGCAATCAATTTGTAGAGACAGTCATCGGATAAGAGGGGTTGAACATCAACTGCAAAATTTTAGGTGAGCTCCCATCGTTCAACTTCATTTTGCAAAAGAAGTTTTGTTATTTGCTTTTTCCAGTGGCTACAAAATGGAGTTAAAGCTAACTAAAGTTTGGAACCTGAATCTCCTTTTTTTTTTACCTCTCTAATCAAATTTTCTGGTCTAAAAATTTAATTTTTCAGCATTAAAATCAGTGCTTTGGACTTTACCATGCATGGTTGTACTTTTGGAAAGACGTTTAGAAGCCTCATTTTTTGCCTGTGAGATACTGTTATCACATGCATTCTACACAAGTACATCTAAGGCCTTTTGATGCTTCATCATACATTTTTTTTATGATTTGAATCCCTGTACTTTGGGCGTTGAAAAGCAATAGGATTCTTTAAAACATTGCAACCCCTATTTCTTAATTCATATTTCTGAGCTTGAAAAATAGAAACTGTTCCATTGCAGGTCTCTTGTCTCCCAGTTAGAAGAAATTGACCCTAGAAAACTGAGACATGAAGAGAAGCTAGCTTTCTGGATCAATGTACACAATGCGCTAGTGATGCACGTAATAATTCGATACCTAAAATCTCCATAAATCTTTTGTTTTTTTTTTTTTTTCACTGGCTGCATTATTTGTTTGGGCTGCAAGGTGTTGAACAAATACAAACCTACTTCTTGTGCATTGCTACAGGCATTTTTGGTTTATGGAGTTCCAAATCGTAATCTGAAGAGGATATCTTTACTTCTCAAGGTAAATACTGATGACAGACTATTTTTTATCTTCCACCAAGAATAAATAAATGTAATTCTGTTTTAATAACTTCAAGAACTGGTCCATGATCCAGGCTGCATATGACATTGGGGGTCACACCATAAGTGTGGAGATGATACAGAGTTCTATTTTGGGATGTCGGTTACATCGTCCAGGACAGGTATATGCAACAAGTCTCCGAATTCTAAAGTTCATTATGCTGCAAACTATAGTTAATCACTAGTTGCTTGTTTTAAGTGGCGATAGTGAAGCTTACTTCTTCTTGTAGTGGTTCCAATCGTTATTTTTCCCCAAAGCCAGATTCAAGGCTGGAGATTTGCGGAAAGCATATGCAATAGAGCATCCAGAACCTCTCCTACGGTTTGCACTTTGTTCAGGAAGTCATTCTGATCCTGCGGTACATCCATGGCTTTACTTTCTTTGCAAAAACTGCTGAAAATAAATAAATATGTAAACACATAAACCACTTATATGGCTCGTGCAACACAAAGATGATCTGGATAGCAAGCTTATAAACAGGCAGTTAGAGCTGAATCCTTAAATTAAGTTGTGTGTTTTGAGTCAAAATTCAAAGAAATGGTGTTTTTTTTTTTGACATACATCGGTTGCTCACTATTTCCATGTACAGTAAACTATCATAACTTAAGTATTTCGTCTATAAAAAGGAGAAAGCACCCACAACACGATAAAAATAAGCCTGAAAAATGGCACAGTAGATCCCCCAAAGAGGGGAACATAAGAAACGGTGAAAGTTAAAAACTCATATCAAAAGTATTGTGGTTTAAACTTGACCTTTTTCCGAATTTTGTTGAAACTTAAGACCAAGCTTGGAAGTTGGAATCCTAATCTGAATGTTAGATCTGCTGCCTCAAACAGAGTTAGCAAAGGTGCGCTGCCAAATAATATTCTCCCTACTTTTTGTAATGGTTTGCTTTGTAATGAATGTTCAGGTCCGTTTGTACACGCCCAAGAGAGTATTCCAGGAGCTAGAAATGGCAAAAGAAGAGTATATCCAGACCACCATCAGGGTCCATAAGGAACCAAAAATCCTACTACCGAAGATTGTGGAATCTTATGCGAAGGAGCTGCATTTATGCCCTGCAGGTTTTGCTGAGATGATTCAGGATTCTATTCCCGATGTTTTGAGCAAAAGTCTCAAGCAGTGTCAGCAAGGAAATTTGTGGAAGAAAATCGAATGGATCCCTCACAACTCCACATTTCGCTATTTGATATCAAAAGAATTGGCTGAATGATCACATATGATTCTAACCTGCCAAGATCATCCGGGAGGTGAATGTTTTTTCCAAGGGCTACCAATACAATTTTGCGTTCCTCAATCTACCATTCAATGCAGGCAGCGTGACAGATTAGAATGACAGATTAATCATAACCACCACGATTAATGGATTCAATGGAGGTAGTCCCAATGTGATTCTCGAATATGAGCGTTTGCAATTACAAGAGTGATGATCAAAATGGCTCAACACATCATCGAGCTTTGAGCTCCAACGAGTTTGAGCTGTTTTGATCACTAGCTTTCTTGGAGTGGCCTAGTTTTGGTTGTCAATGTTCCAAAGTCTGCTGCAGAGTGGATGAGTGAAAATGCATTCTGTAGATTATGAACTTTGTTCTGCCACATTCTGTAATGGGATATGTCTTGTTCTATTGAAGGAAGCTTTTATAACATTGCACAATTTTAAGGGTCTTCCTTCTGTCTGCATCATTTTGCATTGTTTGACAATTGTTTATGCTTGAACGCGGCAAATGAAACATACTAAGCGCGACCAAAGAAAAAAAACAAGAAGTACTAAGCTTGGTCGAATGTGCTCTCTATAATCTTCTTATTTCGGTTCTTGAGGGTTGTTCAAGTGACAAATTCCACAATTTTAATTCGCTCTCAAGTAATTTTCTGTTAATTATTTTTTTGAAAATACCAAAAATCATGTTGAGTGTATATTTTATAAACTATTCCATTCATGCCATGCCTCCTTTCATTTGAATGCAAGTTTTAAAGAGAAAAGAAACCGTAAAAAACGAATGAAAATTGATTAGTCATTCTAATTTACTTGGATCCATACAAACCTGACTATTACATACTTATATATAATTAATTCCAATATGACACACGAATTATAAAAAAAATTAGTCAGTGTAGATCCGATTAATTAATACACGATACAAAATTGATATGATTGTATAATAAATTATAAGTATTTTTATTTTGTTTGTTAAGGGAAGGTGTTTTTTATTTTTTTTAATGATGAAAAATGTTCAAACTAATTTATTTGCATATCGACAAATCCCCAAAAAATGTTTTTTGCAATGTTAAGAGCTTCAGAAAAAGTGCGTCTATCTGTTCAGAAAGAACCTGAATCACTTATAACAATACAGCACAGCCAAAGCCCTTTTTTGGCGGTTCTTGGCACCTCTGTCGATCCCTTCAAAACTCTCTCTCTCAGCACACACGGGAGTGAAAGGAATGGATGAAGATCGTATTGGGTTGATCTTGGCTCGAGCCTCNCACAGCACAGCCAAAGCCCTTTTTTGGCGGTTCTTGGCACCTCTGTCGATCCCTTCAAAACTCTCTCTCAGCACATCACGGGAGTGAAAGGAATGGATGAAGATCGTATTGGGTTGATCTTGGCTCGAGCCTCAGAGCTACGATCCAAGATTACCAACTGCATTCACAAAGCACCTGCTCTAGAATCAGACCACTTTACAACGAAAGAAGAGCGAGAAGGTGAAGAAGAAGAAGAAGAGGCAGAGAGCCTATTGAACATTCGCGATGCCCTCGAATCGCTTGAAGCTCAGCTATCTTCTTTGCAGGTTTGTTCATTCTTTTTAACTTTCTTTTCTTTGTTTGTTTGAAATTCTTATTTTTAGTCAATTTCTTGAAACTGGGGTTTTACTGAAAAACCCTAATTGAATCTGCTTGCTAGTTTTGTTCCAATATTAAGTGCTTCATGAATCAAACTACTGTGGATTTGGAATATATAATATGGTTCAGACAGTTTACATTTTCTGCTTCATATTTTAATGGCAATTGTATCTGATAATGTATTGAAGCAGAAGGATTTCTTGCTGTTTCCCATTTTTCATATGATTTGGAGTTTGGAGATTTGGTCTGTGTAGGTGCACCTATGATTATTGAATTTACTATTTTCTTTTCCTCTTTGCTCATGCATACCTAGTGAATATAAGCTTGTGTTTGTGGAGATTCTTTTAATTTGTTTATGTGGTTTACAATCCCCAATGTGGAGCAATGCTGGGGATCCCAAACTGTATCCCAAATCAATATGGACCCTTGGATATGTGAGCCCTATTAACTTTTTTTCCAACGGGACCACTCATCCAAATTTGGGATCCCTACATTGCTCCCCTTGTTTTGTTTGATAGGGCTCAGAGTATGTCAGGACTTGGTGCTGTCTTAAGCCAAAAACTCAGAACTACATGTAGATTTTGAAGCCTCTTATGTCAGAAACAGTGCGATACATCTCAAGATATGATGATTTTGAAGTGAGTTCTGCTTCCTCATGCTTGAACCATGAGAAATTACCCTCAATCTAATTTAGTGAGTGACTTCTATTTACTTAATGGGAAGGATTAAGAAATCAATTCCCATGACATATACTTCTCCAATATGAGCTGCCGCACCAGTAGACAACTTGACATTCCATCTTCTGGGTGAAATTTATTCTACGGTGACTTTGAGGATCTCTGAAGAAGCTCCTGAGAAAATTACTTCCATAGTGAATGGAGTGATTTTGAAATAGCTATTTGGGGCACATATTACTATTATAAATTCGTTGATCACACCGTCCCTCTCTACCAGAGGAATGAGTTTTCTTGTTATACAAGAAGTGCAATTTTCTTTGTTCTTACTGACATGACTCCTACTAAAAAGAGTAAACATGACAGTGGTTCTCTTTCACAAAAAAGTTATGCTAATAAATTTTTGATAACATTTTTGGCTGCAACCTTCAGGGTTGGCATCTTGAGTTTATCAATTGAAAGAGATGTTATGCCATGTTTTTTTCCTTCCCCCTCAAAAAAAAGAAAAAGAGGAGGCTCTAGGAATTGGTAGTGAGCAAATTGATATTTATTTGCCGTTTTCCTAGCAAACTGCATTCTAGAATTCCGTTGTTGTGTTAGGTCACCCTTGAATATGGTTCCATATGCTATGTCCCATACAAAGGTCTGTAGGTCACAGATGAAGAAGTCCTCAAAAGGAAGTGTTAATGATGGATGAATTGATGTGACTCGTTAACATTGCAAGATAAAGCATTTTAATGAGAGCACAGCTAGTTTTGGCTTGACATGCTATTTGGTGATTTGTTTGTCCTGTTATGCCCAAGGTTATTATTGAGGTGAAGCTGGATCTGATAGAAGAAAGAACATTGTATTTTTTATCAAGCCCCATTCTCTTAGTTTTGTACAATGCTGCAGGCATCTTACAGTTCTTTTTTGATGATCAGGCATTACAACAGCAGCAATGGTATGACAAGGAAACAGCCTTGGCTGAGATTGATTACAGCCGCAAGAAGTTGCTCGAGAAGCTGAAGGAGTACAAAGGCGAGGACTTGGAAGTTATACATGAGGCTACTGCTTTTGCTGGTGAAACAGTTGAAGACAACAATGATCTCCTCCTTCCCCCATATCCAAGCCGGCCTTCTCGCTCCCTGGTGTCGAACAATGGCTATGTTGCACACTTTCCTCCAGCACGCAAGTCGGCTCAAAATAGGGTAATAAGTGGTGATCCCAAAAATGAATTAAAAAAAGGTATCCANGCTCCCTGGTGTCGAACAATGGCTATGTTGCACACTTTCCTCCAGCACGCAAGTTGGCTCAAAATAGGGTAATAAGTGGTGATCCCAAAAATGAATTAAAAAAAGGTATCCACGATTCTGGGAGAAATGAAGTGCAACCTGAAACCAGAGGCTCACTTAAAGGGGTGAGAGTATTCATCAGCATGGTAGCCAAGTCAATGCTTACATTTGTTGGTGTCGTATCTGTTCTAAGTTTGGCTGGGTTTGAGCCCAGGTTTAGGAGAAGGGATTCTCAATTTAAGATTTTGGGTCTATTTCAGCAGCAAGGGACTGAAGAGAAGGAAGTCATGGTTCAGTGTCCACCTGGGAAGGTCCCAGTCATTGAAAATGGTGAAACTCGCTGCCTTGTGAAAGAGAGAGTTGAAATTCCTTTTGAGTCGGTCGTTGCAATGCCAGATGTAAACTATGGGTGTGGATGAAATGGTATTTATTTTCCTTCTTTTGTATATGTGGTGTGATTGGAATAAATCTACGGGTCTGATGCTGTATGGAATTTGTTATGTAGCTGCAGAAAGTTTTGTCCATGTCACCTTCATCGTTGTGGGATAACAATTGCGCCTGTTAAGTAGTAGTAGTAGTGTTGCGTGGGTGTGTTACAGATTATCTACATGTTTGTTTTCTTGACTCGATTTCTAACCGATCTGTTCTATTTTTTGATTTGCCAGTGGATCCATGAACAGGTTATGTTGATTGGAAAATGCTCCATAATCCAAATAGAACTCAAAAGTTAATATCTAAATATATATCATCACTTGGATGAATGGGTTTCATTGAAAAAGTTGATGGGACTCACTCATTTAGGAATGATATGTATTTGAGTTGTAATTTTTTGGATTTTATGTGGGTTTTATCGCATTGCTCATGTTGATTTAGCGCATTTGAGAGAAATGCTTGAAATAATTGAGAGCCATTAATCAAATTTTAGTGCTTTGCATCATGTAACATTGCATTTCTGTTTGTTGGTGTTTTAATCTGTTATACTATTCTACTTGAATGCCCTCAGAATATNGGATGAGTGGGTTTCATTGAAAAAGTTGATGGGACTTACTCATTTAGGAATGATATGTATTTGAGTTGTAATTTTTTGGATTTTATTTGGGTTTTATAGCATTGCTCATGTTGATTTAGTGCATTTGAGAGAAATGCTTGAAATAATTGAGAGCCATTAATCAAATTTTAGTGCTTTGCATCATGTAACATTGCATATCTGTTTGTTGGTGTTTTAATCTGTTATACTATTCTACTTGAATGCCCTCAGAATATCGCTGAGAGATGCATACAAGAGCATAGCAGGTCTACGGGCTTGTTCTCCCAAGACCCAAAGAAAAGGCCTGTTGAGCTATTCAGGATGGTTTCACTCGCAGACGCAAACTCAGGTGGTAGTGATTGGTGAGTCCTGGAATCAATCTGATAGGCGCTCAGATTTAACTGTTCCGGTGGTCACATTTGCTCACATCAAGGTTGTGTCTAATTCCGGGTTTTTGCTTTCTGTCTCTAAAAAGCGTTTTAGCAGACATTGTAGAAAACAGTATCCTCTCCAAGATTGGAAAANCTGTTGAGCTATTCAGGATGGTTTCACTCGCAGACGCAAACTCAGGTGGTAGTGATTGGCGAGTCCTGGAATCAATCTGATAGGCGCTCAGATTTAACTGTTCCGGTGGTCACATTTGCCCACATCAAGGTTGTGTCTAATTCCGGGTTTTTGCTTTCTGTCCCTAAAAAGCGTTTTAGCAGACATTGTAGAAAACAGTATCCTCTCCAAGATTGGAAAATGTAATTTGGGTTCTTCACCCTTTATGGGTCCCTGTTTGAATAATTGATGCAAAGTGCTCAGCAGGCGTTTGCATGATCAACGGGGACAAGAAATCCAAAAACCTTCAGTGCTTAGCTCTACCTGGCCCTGGAAGGTTAATTTACTTCCCATTCATGCTCCATAACCCTTTTTATTGTCAAACACCCAAACATTGCATATTTCCGGGTTAGGCTCAGGTTGATCAGTTATAGTTGCTGATTATACATGTATGCACATATAGTTTTTCGGGTAATTACTGTTGGAGTATAGATAGTCTAGTTTATTAGGATTTCTTTTCCCTTTTTTACCCTNACTCCATAACCCTTTTTATTGTCAAACACCCAAGCATTGCATATTTCCGGGTTAGGCTCAGGTTGATCAGTTCTAGTTGCTGATTATACATGTATGCACATATAGTTTTTCGGGTAATTACAATAGCCATCCATGCACCATGACCGCAGGTGTGATGCAAGTTTTAGAAAACCTGGTGAATATGTCTAGCCTGTAGAGGTCAAGCAAGACTCATTGCATAATCTCTCGCTACATCCTGAAGAGCTAAAAGCCTAAAGCCATGTTCTGGTTGCCACAACCAGCCCCTGGTTTTTAGACGTTGTCCCTGAAGTCTGCAACAAGTTGCTGAGTTCTGCAATGGCTCTCCATTGCCATGAAGGGTTATTCTAATTCATTCTGGTACTTACTATATAATCTCTCTTGAAGATTGCACATTGTATCCTACCATCTTTAAGATCAATTTACTTCCCAGATCGAAAATTCCATTCTCAAACCCGAAGTGATGAGTCTCTTAAATAACACTGGTCCTGCTACTAATGTTTCTACTCTCCATCCAAGTGGTTAGTACCATTCTTCATTTCTTTGTTTAGTTTTATGATTAAAAATAACCATCTAAAGCTGTTTCTGTGGTTGGTTTAAGTTAAAATGTGGCAAAGAGATTTACAGAAGAACAAGAAGCTCTGGTGGTTAAGTCATTTAATTCAATGAAGAAGAATGCTGGAGAGCTTGGTCTCAANGGGTTTTTCAGTGACCTCTCCATCCACATTATATTGTGATAATCAATCTGCTATTCAGCTCGCTTCTGACTCTGTACTACATGAGAGAACGAAGCATATAGAGATCGATGTTCACTTTCTTCGGGAGAAGGTCAGCAGTGGTCTTGTTACTCCATCGTTTGTGGGGACCAGTGATCAAGTTGCGGATGTTTTTACCAAACCTGTCACTCTGTCTATTCTTAGGGACTCCGTTGTCAAGCTAGGCTTAGTTGACATTTTTGCGCCTAGCTTGAGGGGGAGTGTTGGAGTATAGATAGTCTAGTTTATTAGGATTTCTTTTCCCTTTTTTACCCTTACTATGATTTTTATATTTTGCCTAAACTACAAAGATGTTTAAGTCACTCTGTATTATTTTTGGATATATATACGAGACTCTACTCTTAATTTGAGTATCCCTTTTCACTTACGTTTATTCCAAGTATTACAATAGCCATCCATGCACCATGACCGCAGGTGTGATGCAAGTTTTAGAAAACCTGGTGAATATGTCTAGCCTGTAGAGGTCAAGCAAGACTCATTGCATAATCTCTCGCTACATCCTGAAGAGCTAAAAGCCTAAAGCCATGTTCTGGTTGCCACAACCAGCCCCTGGTTTTTAGACGTTGTCCCTGAAGTCTGCAACAAGTTGCTGAGTTCTGCAATGGCTCTCCATTGCCATGAAGGGTTATTCTAATTCATTCTGGTACTTACTATATAATCTCTCTTGAAGATTGCACATTGTATCCTACCATCTTTAAGATCAATTTACTTCCCAGATCGAAAATTCCATTCTCAAACCCGAAGTGATGAGTCTCTTAAATAACACTGGTCCTGCTACTAATGTTTCTACTCTCCATCCAAGTGGTTAGTACCATTCTTCATTTCTTTGTTTAGTTTTATGATTAAAAATAACCATCTAAAGCTGTTTCTGTGGTTGGTTTAAGTTAAAATGTGGCAAAGAGATTTACAGAAGAACAAGAAGCTCTGGTGGTTAAGTCATTTAATTCAATGAAGAAGAATGCTGGAGAGCTTGGTCTCAAATTGTTCTTGAAGTAAATTATTGCATTCCTTCTTGTCCTCCTATTTTTCTAGTTGTCTCATTCATGTATTGATTATAAATGTTGAACAAGTGAGGGATGAATATGCAGGATTTTTGAGATTGCTCCACCGGCCCAGAAGCTATTTTCATTCTTGAGAGACTTGGATGTTCCGTTAGAGCAGAACAGAAAGCTCAAGCTCCATGCCATGTCTGTCTTTGTCATGGTCTGTAAACTTTCTTCCATCTTGTTAATAAATATCTGTTCAGGCACCAAACCGTGCCGACATGGTTTGGACTATATGAAAAGTGTGCGTGCAAGATCCTGCACAATATAAAAAACGGGAACAGCTCTCTCCCTTGGTGAACTTTGCGTGAACCGGCTGAGTGACTAACCACGCTGCTTTGGAACAGCCTGCGAGGTCAGATGGTAAACTGGAGCGGCAACGGGAGACCCTGGGTGAGAGGGAGAACGATCCAGTAAGGCTAAAAAAGGATCCTGGAACAAAGAGGAACAGGTTAGAAGGGCGCCGGAGTNTGAGGTCAGGTGGTAAACTGGAACGGCAACGGGAGACCCTGGGTGAGTGGGAGAACGATCCAGTAAGGCTAAAAAAGGATCCTGGAACAAAGAGGAACAGGTTAGAAGGGCGCCGGAGTGTTTTCCGGCGTATCCCCTCCGACGATCTAGTCAGTCTTTGAGTGAGAGAGAGGAAGGAGAGAACACTGAGAAAATCTATTATACTAGAGAGTTTTT